GAAGGAGGAACAGGTGCGCACCTCTTCCTCCTCCATTCCCCACACCATCCCTGCCCTACAGCGGGGCAGCTGAAGGCTGGGGAGGTCAGAAAGCAGGAGGAACAGGTGCACACCTCCCTGCCCTCTGCATGCTGGGAAAAATGGCTTCATGAGTCATCTCTGGCGTGCTTGCCATAGGTTCGCCATCACAGCTCTAGAGGGTACATTGTGACATTTGGAGGCCTTGAAATGGATTTTTAAAAGTAAACTGTTGTACCCAGAAGCTTCCAGGAGCAGTAATTGCTTCCTTCAGTTGACTGGAAAAAGGGGAGATGGGGGTCCTGGAGATGTTGAGGACCACAAAAACATCCCTGGAGCCACATGGGGCTCTAGGGTAGCACTTTGCCATTTTTAAAGCATTATGAGAAGTTTCCCTGTGGGGGAGGGGAGTGAATTCTATAGATATAAATGAAACCAAAAAAATGACTGATTAATAATTGCATTTTATTTCCATCTCCTGCTTTTTATCACTTTTAGGAAAGTTTAGATTGTGTGATAAAAATGTAGCTAATCTTACAGATTCTCCAAAGAGAGAGAGAGAGAGAGAAAGAGAGAAATAGGGTAGGGAGAGAAGCCTTTTGTCTGAAACATAAAGTTATGGGCTGTAATCCTGTTGTTCACCTTCAATTACAACAGATCAATTGAGACAATTATTGAATGGTGAGTCCACACATAGGTAAATCCCATTGATTCAGTAGCTATAGTCTACTTGGAAAAAACAATTGTAGCTGAGATTTTACATCCATTGTTCTAACTATTTCTGAAAATGCAGTCCCCAAGTATTACATTATATTAGAAGGGACCATTGATGTGCCCATGTTTTGAAATAGTGGAGGATGATAGTTTGTGGTCTAAATTTTATTCTTTTGGGAGTTTTGTTGTTGTTGTTGTTAGCTGTCTTCAAGTTGACCTTGACTCATAGTGACTCTGTGAATGAGAATTCTCCATGCCCCCCCCCCATCCGCTACCTCTCTGCTCTGGTCCTGTAGGCCCTGGGAAGGTTAGCTCCAGCAATTTTTCATTAATTTTTCATTAAGCATAAGTATTTTTCCCTTGGGAAATATCCCTACTTTTTGAAATGTGGGAGGACATAAAATAAAACCTTAAACTATATGTTGAGAAAAACATAATAGTGAAAGCAAACACTCAAAAGCAACATAAAAGCCTGACTCATCTTACAAAGCAGGCCAGATTCTCCCAAGAAGGGGGAGTTGCTAGTGTCATTCAGGACTGTTTTTTAAAAAGAGAGAGATCCTATATGTTACTCACACTATCTACATTTTCCAAAAATGATTTTAAAAAACAGGAGAGTCTTTCCTCCCTGCCAATTGATGATGATGTGCAACTCATAGAGGGATGCAGATGGGAGACCCTGGGCTGCCCCAGAAAATGAAGGATTGAGGCTGAGGTTGCCAGACGTGTTGGCCTCAATTCTCCCTTTCACCACTTGGGAAAGGAGTGCCAAAACACCGTTCTTTTTCCAGGTGTCAAAAAGGGCACCTGAAGAGCCACCATGCGGTTCTTTTGTGCTCTTCCGGTGCAGCATGTAAAAACACTGCACAGGGAGGACGTCCTGACAGCGTGCGCCATGCGTAGCAGTGTATGCTGTGATGATTTCCTTGAGAAGGGGTTGGGGCACCTGGCGTGTGGCTGCCCGTCCCCTTTCCTGCCTCCAAGAAGGCGCTTTGCACCATCTGTAGAGACCCATAGTCCCCTATCCCCAGGAAACACATCCCACAATCAGAAGTGTTCTACCAAATGGTAGCCTATCCAGGCAAGAGGTTAGAAAACCATACCTTAGCACTCTGCATTGTTCACTTGTGTAAAAGGCACAAGTAGCAGCTTTGACCTTCCAGAAAGTAGCAGTATTAAGAGGCAGCATTCATTATAGCATCAGTGAGTGATAGCCATAATAGAAAGAAAGAAAAGCACAGAATCCACCATTCCCACCCCCCACCCCCTATAGACAGGACATGGGAGCCTGTCATCAGCCATAGTTATACAGTGGCTAGAACCACTGTATACATAAAGAGACTGCCAATTCTAAGGGATGTATGCAGCCTCGGTGCCAAATCATTTCTCCATTAATTTCAGTTTAACAAGCTATAGTAACTGCTATGAGTACACTTTTGTGCCTTTGGTGGGCCCTTCTAGTATAGCCACAAGAGATCCATGTGCACATCTAAACTAACCAGAGCTCCGGCGGTGAGAAGCGGCGTTCCGGAGGCTTGTTCCACCTT